TTTAGCCTGCTGTTTATAGTCTAGAGCAGTAACTTCTATTCCTATTCCTATGCCTTTCTTAATAGAAGAGGCGTCTGTGTATTGATTGATTGATTGATTAGTTTAACGTCCTGTGTGAGTCTAAGACTATATAGGACGAGAGCAGTGAGGCTGCTCTAGTAATTTACAAGTTTTTTCTATATAAGGGAATAGTATATATAGGTTTATAGATATATAGTGAGAGCCTGTGCTCTAGTTATAAACAAAGGAAATTAGTTGTCTGTTGTTTGCTATAGGTACTACTTGCGTGTGCCTACTTTAGTTTCTTAAATAAAAGCTAGTGTAGCTTAGATTCACCTGCTTATGTCTAGGAGAAGAGACATTATAAGTCTTGTCTCCTGTAGGCTGCTCTTTATTTTCTTTCTTACTTCTCTGTAGTTTCTATAGCTAAGTAGTAGGTTTTAAGGTGTTTGTGTATGTCCACAGCTACATTTAGAGCTTTCTATTTTTTGTATATTGTATAGGTATGCTTTGTTATATTAATGTCTAAGCTTTAGCTAGTAGTATGCGCGTGCAATTTCTCTTCTAGTGTTTTTTAGTAGTGTTATCTTGCTTATTAGCTTTAGCAAGAATCTTGCTGCATAGGTGCTAGGATTCCCTAAGCTTTGCTTTTATAGAGTAGGCCTAGAGTTTATGTTGCCACTCTTGTCTTGTAATAGCTTTAATCCTAATACCCGTCATTGCAAGGCTTGTAGTATTAGATACTAGTTGCTGTTTTGCAGCTTATTTTGCTAAGGAGTCTGCTTTTTTGTTTCCTGTGATATCTAGGTGTCCTAGGGCCTAGTGTAGGCTAATTGTTGCGCCTTTGCTGTGAATTATCTTTACTGCATTTATACAGCAGATTTGCTAAGCTTGTCTAGGGTTATTAGAAGGAGTCTTTAGCCTTAGAATAGCTGCCTAGTTGTCTGCAAAGACTTAGATCTCTTGTGTTGCTGTAGCTATAGAAGCTGCAAACCTAAAGGCTCTTATTATGCCTTCTAGCTCTCTATTATATACAATCTAGCCTTTGCTAATATTATATTTAGTAGAGTAGATCTCCTTAGCCTGCTGTTTATAGTCTAGAGCAGTAACTCCTATTCCTATTCCTGTGCCTTTCTTAATAGAAGAGCCATCTGTGTAGATAGCAAGTAGGTTGTCCCCTAGTCTCTGTAGCATTTGCGTTTTGTGTTGCTCTGTGTCTTCTTCTTTAAAGAGTTTAGAGACCTCTGCTGTATATAATATAGTCTTGTTCTAGGGGCAGAAATAGTAGTCCTACAGTTTTTCTTCTTCTATGCTAGGAGTAGCATTTTGTATTAATTGTACAATTTGCATAAGCTAAGTAGGTGGGCCTCTTCTTAGCCTCAGGAGAGCAGCTACTTCCTCTTGTTCTGTGCTACACTCTAAGTCTTTTCTTTATAACTATAGAGTAGCTTTTAGAGTCTTAATTATATTATAAATAGGGTAACGTACTCCACGGGTGAGTCGTTCATACGGGTGAGTCGTTCATACTGCCAAGACCACACCAAACCTCCACCCTATTATGGCTCGCATTGGCCTACTTTGGCCTTGTATACACTGGTACAGCATGTAATATTATTTAGCAACAGCTTCTACAGGCTTTTTACACGTGCGTGAGTTATGCCCTACCTTATAACACTGTTTACAGCGTCTTTAGGTTGCCTCACCTCCTTTAACACGCGCTCACTTCCCTGCCTTCTTACTATCACCACGCGCCCTAAACTTAGTTAGAGTAGTTAATTAAAGGCCTTCCTTAGCTGTTAGGACCCCTTCCTGCTGTAACTGCTTTCTTTTATGCAATTTACTTTACGTGGAGGCCTTATTTGCTGCTTAAAGCCCAGTAATTTCCTTTTAAGCCAACACTAGCTTTTGCGCTACTATAGCTGCGCCTTTGGCAAGCTTTTTAAAGGCCTCAACTATTAAAGTTAGTAAGCTGCTTGCATGCCTTTGAATCCTCTCTCGAATTAGCGTTAATTGCGACCCTATTTGTAGGGTATTGCTGGGGGTTTAGGACTGCCAGGGAGCATCTTCTACAGTAGGTAATAGTAGGGTATGTAGGCAGACATTAAGACCTATTATAACCTGTTCTAGCTTAAAGGGAACTAGTCCAGCGCCTCAGAAGCCTCCTTAGATATTGCTAGGAGTAAATGACTCCTTGTAGGCGCCTATAAAGCATGGCAGGAACTCGGTTTTGGTAATATGCGTGATTCTGTTGCACATGAGATCGATTGATTGATTGATAAGTTTAACGTCCTGTGTGAGTCTAAGACTATATAAGACGAGGGCAGTTAAGCTGCCCTAGTATTTTAAGGAGTGTTTTGTACAAAGGGATAGTAAATATGAGTTCGCAGTCCTATAGTGAGGGCCTGTGCCCTAGATAGTTGAAGAGAGCTGTTGCTCTGTTGAATTATTGTTGTATAGAGATAGCCTGCAGGCAGGCTATGCTCTGTAGGTTGTTTGTCTATTGCTAGCAATAGACTGCTGGGGGCAGTTTTAAGCCATTGCTTAGTTAATAGAGTAGTCGTATAGGGGTGGTTTTGAGCCGTTGCTCAGTCGATTTCGTCTA